GAGCTGGATTCTCTGGGGTGAGGGCCCCCAACCCGGAGGCAACAACTCCTCAAACATAATACGAGTTTTTAGTACCCTTTCTAGCTTTACATACATTTCTATATATCCTATTACATATAACTTCTATTATATGTAATAGACACGTACACATATAGACGTACAAATATACATCTGAAACCAGGAGCCGGTGAGCACTGGCTCAGTTAGCAGTAGTGCCTTTCTTTCTCTTCCACGTGGAGCAGTTGATGGGATTTTAGATCCGATGAAACTCAATGCTTCTCCCCACCTAAACGGGGCCCTGAATCCCTCGGATTTGCAACACGGAGCTATCAGGGCAGCCTCCATTCGCAGAGAGGACACCGGCTCAGCCAGGCTCAGTCAGGCCCCACCCAGAGTCCTAGGGCTCCAGGCAGGAGGTGGCTCGGTGATCCGTATCCCTCCGGAGCTGAGACAGGGAGAAGCTTCCAGGAGACAGGCCTCTGCCCTGGCCACTGGGCTGGGGCTCCATGAGGCTCTGGATAAAGGGAAGGGATGCCTCCTGGGGAGGCTGCAGGGGGAGGGGTCTGATAGGGTCAGCTGAGGCCAGTTCCTACTTAGAAAAATGTCTGCCTGTGGGGAAAGCGGGAGAGAGGGAAGGAGCAGGGACCAGTGGGTTCCTGGAGTGAGGGTCGGAGCCTAGGGGAGGTGAGTTGTCAATCCCGACAGGCAGTCCCGTGCTGGGTGCTGGGAGGCCTCCTGCAGGCCGCCTCTGTCTGCAGCCAGGCCACCGTCCTGACCTCCCCAGGCAGCCCCTAGGCCAGCCCAGGGGGCAGGGTGGCCAGGGACAAGGCTCTGAGACCTGGCAGGCTTCAAGCAGGAGAACTGGCTGTTTCACAATGGAAAGCGGGAGACCCAGGGAGGGGAGGGGACTTGCCAAAGGCCCCTGACAAGGAGTGACTGGGTCTTACTTTAACAGCATAACGAGGACAGACGGTTCGCATGTATGGAGCACCCCCTAGGTCCCAGGTCTGTGCTCAGCACCTTACACAGGAGGAGGCCTGTATTGTTATCCCTGCATTCAGATCACACAGCTGAGGCTCAGGGGAGTTTTCAGCCACGTTCTAGATAAGAGCAGGTGGTGGGAGAAATCAAACTCAGGCAGAGAAACTGCAGCCCCAAGCTCTCCCCACAACCGCGGGACCTCTTAGAAGGTTCTCCAGGGCACACATGTTCCTTGTCTGGCACACAGGGGGCATCCTTCACCCTCCCCAAGCTCCAGGACGCTCAGGAACCAGGTCTGCCCTCGGAAGCATCAGGACAGCGTGCAGAGCACATCCTGGACACCAAGTCCTGACACAGGGTCCTTCTCACCCACGCTACCTCTCCCAGCGTGAAGGGCACTGGGGGAAAGAGTGGCCCCCAGAACCAGGGCTCTGCAGGCCTCAGGCTGGGTCCGTTTACCCAGCTCTTGGCCAAGGTGGACCGGACTTCCTGTCTTCCTCACCTTGCTGCAGACGATTTAGGGCGTTCTTAGGTGAGAGAAAGCAGGGCATTTGCCCATCCATCTGGTGCAGTGGTCGGCAAACCGTGGCTCTTGAGCCACCTGAGGCTCTTCCACAAAATGCCACGTGCAGGTGCGTACCTACAGTGTGATTATTGAAACTTCGTGGCCCATGCGCAGAAGTCGGTTTTCCGCTCTCAAAAGAAATTTCAGTCGTGGTACTGTTGATATTTGGCTCTGTTGGATAATGAGTTTGCCGACCCATGAGCTAGTCGAAGAGATGGCTGTCCATACAAGATGGAAAAGGGAGAGGGTATCTAGGTGTTCCAGGTAGGGGAGTAGGAACTGTCCAACTAACTACCTTTCCATGGAAAAGAGAGAGGAAGAGAGGAGGGAGAGAGGGAAGGAGATGGGAGAGGGGAGAAGAAGTAGTGGGGGGAGATAGAGACAGAGACAGAGAGACAGAGAGACAGAGAGACAGAGAGACAGAGAGACAGAGAGAGAGAGAGAGAGAGAGAGAGAGAGAGAGAGAGAGAGAGAGAGAGAGAGAGAAAACACCCCAGGTCTGTTAGTCCAGGATGGGGAAGAAGTAGGTTAAAATTGGTCTGTTCTGGGCGCCCTAGTCATTCCCACCGCCCTCCCTGGGACAGGACAGGAAAGGGCTGCCTTTCTGTCGGGAAGAACATTCTGCTGATCCGAGGATGCAGGGACCCTCGGATTCTGAGATGCGAACTCCGAATGCGCGAGTGTACGTCCATGGGGGCGGGAGGACAGCCTTCAATAAGACTCAAAGCCTTTGGTTTGTCCGAGATGTAGCCGCACAGACGGCGAGGAGACGTCTGTCCAGAAAGGACAGCTCTTAGGAGAGGACCCCGCGCTCGGACACTGGGGGTGCAGCTGGCGCCCATGTGTGCGCAGGCCTGCGGGCACCTCCCGGCTGGCAGTGTGCAGGCGCCAACTAGCGGCGGCTCCCGGAACTGCTCCAGCTCAGCCGGCGCTGGCGACCTCGGGCTGGGGACCCAAGCGCCAACACCTGGGGTCCTCCCGGTCCCCGCACGCACCTGCAGCGAGCGCCTTCCAAGGGCTGGTGCAGATCCGGACCCTGGCCCAGGCGCCGGGGCCCACAGGAGCCCCGTTATCAGGAAACCCATTTGTAAACCACCCCTCGGCGGAGAGGGAGAAATCAGGCGGAGGGTGCAAGGAAGTGCACGGGTAGTGCAAACCGAAACCATGAGACAAATTGAGTTTGCAAACTTCACATGAAGGGGCCCTGGCCCCACAGCCGCCCCAGGGCAGCACGCGCCCAACCCTCGTCCCCCTACCTCCCCCCCTCCCCGCCCCCCTGGCCCGGGCTACCAGGCTAGGATGCAGCAGGACTTCCGTTGGGGCGCTTCGAGAGGAGGGCCGGGCGCACCAAGGCCCAGGTCCCTCGCTTTCTTTTCGTCCCCATGCTGGTGCCAGCGCCCCCGAGCGCGCGCGGGCCTCGGCGTAGGCTCCCTGAAAAGCCCAGAAAAGGGCTCTCCTGTCCCTGCTTCCCAAATGGCCCGAGGACCTGCCAGGAGGCTCCGGGAGGGGCAGGGACCAGCTCTCCCGGTGGCCGAGGTTGGCCCAGATCCCGTTTGCTCTGCCGTGCACCCCGGGCTTGATTTCGTTTGCCTGCGACGACAGGGTCCCCGCTGGGCCGGGGTCAGGTCCAGGGCGGGCTCTTTCGGTCTCCACGGGCGTCCACGCTGCTGGGCTCCTGAGGCTTGGAAACGCGTCGTTTTGCAACTGTCCGGTGTGCGGGGAGCAACGAATACTCACCCGGGTCTCCAAAGCGGCGGGAGCAGCCGGCGCGAGCTCGCTCCCCACCCTCCGGGGAGCGCGTCTGGACGGCAATCCGGAGTGAACGGGTCTCGATCTTTCCCTGTTCCCCTTTCCTCCGCAGCCGGGCTTCGGAGGCCGGAGAGGAAGGGATTGTTGGACGTGAAGCCCCAGGAATGGCTGGGCCGCGCCGGGGAGTGGGAGCGACCGGCCAGGGCCCAGGGCCGGCGCGTAGACCGGGCCTCGGCAGAGCTGCCAGCCCTCCTGCGGCGGGGCCTGCGGGAGCGCACCGTCCGGCTGGGAAGACGCGGGCTCGGACCCGCGGGAGCCAGTTTGCATCCACCTGGAGGAAGTCCGTTCCCTCCTCTGGAAGCCTGGGTGGGCCCTGAACTTCGCAGCCGTCCCTGTTCTCCAAACACGTTTCCTTCTCGCTACAAACGTCCTTCTTTCCGCGACGCAGGGATGCGGGACCGTGTTACCGGCGCGGGGCTTGTGTTGGGGGCGGAGGGGGGAAGGTCGGGGGAAAGCACTCTCATGTTCCAGGCCCATCTGCTCTGCAACCAGCCGCCGGCCTCCGCCACGGAGGACGGACGGCGCGGCGAGGCCTGCGTCTTCGCAGTCGCGTGGCCGGAGAGGAGCAGGGTTAGGCGCCCCCCAGCCCGGTGCAGGCCGCGGAGGCACCCTTCCCTCTGTCCCCGGTGGACACCGGGGCCTCCGCGACCAGGACCACAGCCGCCGGGGGGGGGGCTGGGAGCCGCAGAGGCCGCCTGGGCGCGCTTCACCTTCTGCGCCGTGGAAGCTCTTGGGTCAAAAAACAATCTGCGGGCCGGGGGGCGGAGAGAAGCCTTTTGGGGGGCAGCTCCCCAAGCTATGTCACTGGTACCCCTCTGGGGTGCAGGTTGCACAGGCCGAAAGCAGCTGAAGTGGGGGAGGCCCGACCGTAGGCCAGCAGCGGGGAAAAGGGGGGGGGGGGGGAGCGCAGCCCCGGAGACTGTGGAGAACGAGCCTTCGGCAGGATTCGGGGGCTGCAAACCCTTTTTGGCCTCGGCCCGGTTCCCCGGAGCCCTCGAGGAGCCCCGGGCTGTCGCGTGGGGGCACCGGACCCCGCGCGCCCTCCTCGGGGCGGGGCCTTCCGCCCTCCGGGTGGGGCGGCCTCCGCGGCCCCCGTCCTCCCCCCGCCGGCGCCGAGGTGCCCGCGATGGGGCTGCGATTGGCTGCGCGGCGCGTCGCTCCGGCGGCCCCGCCCCGCCCCGCGGGCCCGGGTACTAACCCCGCGCGCGGGCGGCCGCGGCGCCGCCACTTGATTCTCGAGGATTTGTCGCGGGGCCGCGGCCGCGGGCGGGCTGCGGGGGCTGCGGGGGCGGCACGGGCGGCACGATCGGCGCGGGCGGCCCCGCCGCGGCCGAAGCTGCCGGGACCGGGACCGGCGCGCAGGGCGGCCGCCCCGGGGCCGCGCGCCCGGGATGAGGGACTAGCGGGCCGGCGGCGCGGCCGTCGGGGCTGCGAGGCTCGGCCGCGGGCGGGCTCGGCGGGGCGTCCCCGGGCGCCACCCCCGGGGCCCCGAGGCCCGGGCCGGGCGCTTCTGCTTCCCCGCTTCTGGCGGCGGCCGCGGCGGCGGAGGAGGAGGCGCCCGCGCCGGCGGCCCCAGGGGAGCCGCGCCGCCGCCGCCGCCGCCCGGCCGGCGCGCTGACGGCCGCTGGTATGCGCATTCCCGTAGACCCGAGCACCAGCCGCCGCTTCACACCCCCCTCCACGGCCTTCCCCTGCGGCGGCGGCGGCGGCGGCAAGATGGGCGAGAACAGCGGCGCGCTGGGCGTGCCGGCGGCCGGGGGGCCCGGCGGGCGCGCGCGGCCCGAGGTGCGCTCGATGGTGGACGTGCTGGCGGACCACGCGGGCGAGCTCGTGCGCACCGACAGCCCCAACTTCCTCTGCTCCGTGCTGCCCTCGCACTGGCGCTGCAACAAGACGCTGCCGGTCGCCTTCAAGGTGAGCTCGGGGCCCGGGGAGGGAGGGAGGGAGGGAGAGAGGGCGGGCGGGCGCGGCCCCCGGGGCGCCGGGCGGCTCGGCTCCGCTGCCGGAGGAGCCGGGCCCGGAGAGCCCTCGGAGGGGAGGGGAGGGGAGAGGAGGGGACGCGCCCGCGACCCCAGAGCCAGAGCCCGGCAGCTGGGCCACCGGCCCCGTCGGGCTCAGGGCGCGCTCCACCCGGAGACGCGGGCGCTTCCTCTCGGGGGCACCCCGCGCTGGTGGCTTTCAGGGAGCCATGCCCCCGCCACCTTCGGGGAGCCCTCCGGAGAGAGGTGGAGAGGGAGGCGGGCCGAGGGGGCTCCCCTCCCACCCGGGTCCTCGGGACGCAGCCCTGCGGGGAGGGAGCAGAGGAGCCGGGGACGAGGGCGCGGAGGTGGGGTGCGCAGGGCGGAGAGGCCTCCCCGGCTGCCGGCACCCCTCCTCCGGCTCCGCTGCAGCAGCACTTCCTGCTCACACCCTTGGCCCCCCGCTTCGGAAACGTTACCCCGCGGCCCCGGGCCGGGACCGGAGGCGCCGTCCCTAACCGGCGGCTGCGGGGATCCCAAATGCTGGGCACAGATCGGGCGCTCCCGCCCCCCGCCGCCAGCCCCCAGTCATTCAGAGGACCTTCTCTCTGCGCGGGAGGAGGCGACTGTTTCATTTTCATTTTTTTTAAGGGGGGCAGCGAGATGAAACGAAAATGGCCTGGTTTTCCCCTAAACAGCTGCCGTGAGAAAGGGCGGCGCAGGCGGGGCCGGCGCGGGGGTGGAGGGGCCCGAGGTGGCCGGAGGCGGCGGCTCCTGGCAGCCGAGGAGGCCGTCCTCGCTCCCATGAAGGCGACTCCAAATTGAAAGAAAGAAAAAATAAAAAAATAAAAAGAAAGGATGAGTGTCTCTTGGAGGTCTTCCGGATGACATCCTAAAACACCAGCGGGGAGACTCTCCCGTAGAGGGCCCGGCGGAGGCCCGTGTGACTGTAACCCTCCGATCGGAGGCTGTCCTGTCACTTGGAGCTTAAAAGGAACCTTTGAAATTAAAGGAAGACAGGATGTTGACAGGAAATCTGGCCTTTTTAATCAGACCCCAAACATTTTCTCCTTGAAATTTTTACCATCTGGATCCCCTCGTCCCTGCACGCAGTGGCCACGTTCAAATAAAGGGCTGTGACTGTGTCTGCAGCCTGGTTCCTTTTCCAGAGGCATCTGCCTCTCGGTGCTCCACCATGGGGTGAGGCTTGGGGGGGAAGACGATCATAGGGGGCACCGCCACCCCCCATCCCCGCAATTCCCAGCAGGTGCATCCTCCTGCTATCAAGAGCCCCTCTGGCACTTTAAAAGGGTTTTTTGGTTTTTTTTTTTTTTCTGGACAAACGCTCTCAAAACGGCAGCTTGTTTTGCATTTTGCATTTTCCCTGCATAACGAATTCGAGCTAGGCAGAGGCCGACACCCTGGGCTGGGGCCATCTTTCGGGGCCAAATATCCCCCAAACAGCTCTTTCGTTAGTTGAGTCCCCTAATTGTTGCTGCTGCTGTTATTTTTTAGTTTGTTTCTTGTTTTTGTTTTTTTTTACGCAGAGACTTGGTTGCTAGAGGCAATGTTGATTCCTCTTTTGCTCACCAGCAGAGGGAAGGAGGAAACGGCACCCCACACTGTAGTGACTGAGCTCGTGCCCAGCTCGCCCTTAGACTTAGTTGAATGGAAGGGGTGATTTCCCAGGGCATGGCTTAACAGCTTAACCAGTGTATCTAGGATTTTGGTGAGGAAGGCAGAGATCTGTGTGTGTGTGTGTGTGTGTGTGTGTGTGTGTGTGTGTGTGTTAAGGGGGAGGTGGGTGTCTCCATTGTTTGTAAGCCATTTGAGAAATCCGCAGTGCGCCTGGCACCTCGGGGAGCTGCCGCCCCGGCCCCTCCCCCTCTCCCTTGCCTCCCGCCACCTTCCTAAGCTGTCCCCTTGCCCCGCGCCCTCAGGTGGTGGCCCTGGGGGACGTGCCCGATGGCACGGTGGTGACGGTGATGGCGGGCAACGACGAGAACTACTCCGCCGAGCTGCGCAACGCCTCGGCCGTCATGAAGAACCAGGTGGCCAGGTTCAACGACCTCCGCTTTGTGGGCCGCAGCGGGCGAGGTGAGTGGGAGGGAGGCTGCGCCAGCCCCGCGCGCGCGGGGCCGCCATAGCAAAGGCTGGGGTGGGGGGAGGAAGCGGAGAATGAGGGGTCCCGGTGGGAGCCCCAGAAACAGGTCCATGCTCAGTTCTGTCTGAAGCAGCGGTTTGCAGCCCCTCAGGGTGTTACAGACCCCCTTGACGATGTGAGGGGAAAAGCTGTAATTTCCCCCCAGTCCCTGGGGCTTCCGAACCCCGCATCCCCTTCCCTGATTACGTGCACTTACCTCACAAAACAGGGCCTTTCAGGTCTCTCGGCAGGCAGGCAGGCAGGCAGGCGGGCGGTTTAGAGGACAGATCCTTGGTCTCCAGGGACCCAGCACCCCAGCCACTCTCCCCACTGGGGCAGACTCTCCCCCACACGTTGGGCTGCCTCTCCGCAGCTGTGGTCTCCCGAAGCCACAGTTTCCCCAGCCCTTTGAGCCTGAACGTGGTTTAGAAAAGAGACGAATGCAGTACAGGGTGCCGAGTACTGGAAAGCGCAGCTCAGAGACTGCCTTCTCCCAGCCCGGAGTCAGGCCGGTGTGCCACCCTCCCTGCCTGACCCGCCTCGGGGGCAGGGGCAGGGGCAGGCACCGCTGCAGCTGCCTCCAGGGGCTGATGAGTAGGAGGACCTGAAACCCATCACCACTTCTGGATGCAGAAGTCCTAGAAACACTGTCATGGGAGGGGGGGTGGGGAAGGGGGGGAGTGGAGACTTGAGGGCTCGCTGGCCCTTTAAGACCAGCCCTCTGAAAATTGGGGAGTGCCCTTCCCTGAGCACCTGGCTGCCCAAGCAGCTTTGCGAAGAAAGGAAGCTCGGTTCCCCCTGGTCGCAGTCTCCACAGAGGCCGGGGCAGGATTGTACTTTTCATCACCAATAAGCAAGACCTTTTCAAGGTTTTAGCTCCCTCCGAGCCGCCGGCCCCGCTCGGAAATGGGCCTCTGGGCACCATTTTTCCCTCTTCAGCCGCTCAGTGTATACGTACAAATGTCAACCATATTTTGACTTTTCAGCATTAATTAAAACCAGGGCGTTATTTGCATGTAATAACTGTTTACTTGTTACTTTTTTATGAAACTGAAATAGTTTACATTCTTTCAAACATTTCCTGTTCCTGTTGGCTCCCTTCCCCGCGCACAGATTTCTTTCAAACGTTGCCCTTAACTGGTTGCAGGTTGATGGATGGAAAATGTTTGCTTTTATGAATTAAGCTTTCATTGCTGCTCCTAATTAGTCTCCAAGCCCCTTTTGTCATCCCCAATATCTCAAGCCTTTTGCAACTTAATCCCAGTCCCAGCCCCGAGCGAGGGGAGAGCCGCTAGCTGCCGCTGGCTGCCTGGCGGTGGCTTGCTCCGAGGCAGCTCCGTGGTGGGGCGGTGGCCCAGTCTGTCGGCCCAGATGGCAGTGGCAGAGAGGGAAGCCCAAGATAGCTGCATCCCCTCGGGGGCAGGCAGAAGGGAAGCTTAGTCCCTGGGGCCGAGCAGGGCGTCAGGAAGATGGCATTGCATCCCCTCTTCTGGGAGGTGCAATATGGAAAGAGAAGAGATGATGATTCTCTGAGTTCCCTGAGACTTTGCCTGGCCATTCTGCTGCTGAAAAGGATTTCCTTGTGGCGTGTATGCCCACAGACCCGTGCCCACCCACAGGGCCTGCTGGGAGGGAGAGGGACTTCCAGATCCCTGTTGGGCAGCACACTCTTTGAGCGGGCACGGCGGAGGCTGCCTTGTGGCTCTGGGAAATGGATGCCGGAGCCTGAGCTTCTCTCACAGGTCTCAGCGGTCCTGGGAAGCAGGAAGAGGCCTCGGTTGGGGGTTCTGATGCCCCGACAGGACTTCTAGGCCCCGAAGGCTCGCGGTATTCAACAGCTTTGGCTCTAAAACATCCGACCCAGGCTTCAGGCCCAGCTCCTCTGGTGACTGTCTGGATGACATGTGGGCAAATGGCTTCCTCTCACTGTGCTTCCGTGTGCTCATCTGTAAAATGGGGATCCTGTGGGGGTTTGTCAGGGCTAAGGAACCTGGTACAGGTGTCTCCACTGGCAGCTATCGAGAGCTGGATACGTGTTAGAGATTTCGTTGCTTCAGATGCCTGGGGCCAGAGGAGATCTTTGAAGTCCCTTTGAGCGGTGACAGCCACTGATTCTCTGGTTCTGGTGCGGTTTGGGCGGGGGCGGGGGAAACCCAGGAGGTGTGAATTGTTGAGTGGGAGAAGTGGAGGCGGTAGCTGTGAGAGAGGAGGCCGGAGCCTCCTGTGGCGAGCAACCCTACCTCGGCACTGCCCATCCTGCCCAGTGGGAAATTCCCTCGGCGAGGACCGTCAGTGATTGACACAGACGGTGTGGGCCATTGCAGGAGTGGGCACAGGCTGGGATTTGGGACCCGGGGCCTGCCCCTGGCTCCCTGACCTCTGCTGGGGCCAAGGACCCCGATGGAAATGTCTGCTTGTTTCCTTGCCTTTCATTCCTGGGTTCTCTCTCAATCCCAGGAAAGACATGCACACACTACCAGCACCAAGCTCTCGGGATGAGCCTGGCAGTGTGAAACAGGGAAAGGAAGGGAAGGAAACCGAGTCATGGGTGTCTCTTGCAGTGATTCAGGCCCCGCCCCACACCCACCCAGACACAGCACCCCCTTCAGTAATTTATAACGCCCTTTCCCACCTCACAACGAAATGCAGATAACGTAGCCCACCTACGTACGCAGTTTCAAAGCCCGTATAATTCCATAGCCCTGATGAAAAATGGGGAAAGTGATTTATAGTGAAATATCTATTTATAGTGAAATATCTATCAAAAAACAAAAACAAAAAAACAATCCTGGTCTCAGAATATGTAAATATGGGGCCAGACCACAGCGTGGATGGGCGCTCCCCCCTCTGACAGGCGGCAGGTGAGGTGTAGGTGACTCAGAGCCGGCCCCCCCCCCGCGCTGCCGTCAGTGACGTGACTTTCCTGAACGTGTGAACAATTCTTGGTAAAGTTCTGAACAAATTTTTTTTTTTAAAGACTGTCTTTCCTCCTGGAAAATTCAAGAGACGTTAAACGTGTACCCCCCAAAAAAGTTCCCTTGTTTTATGCAAAATTTAGTTAAGCTCAGGGCTCAGATCTTCTTTATCAGCAAGTTTTTCGTGCACAGAGAGAATTGACTATTTCATGGCCCTGTGCAATGCTGGACATCCCCTCTCTTCCCCCCCTCACCCCACCTCTTGAGAATCACACACGACAAACCCCCAAAAGTAAGGTGACCAGACGTCCCGCTTTTGGCAGGACAGTCCCGATTTTTAACCATTTGTCCCGCGGTGTTAAAAAAAAAAAAAAAAAAAAAAAAAAAAAGTCCCGATTTTTGTTTCTCAGGACGAGGGACAAATTGTTAAAAATCGGGACTGTCCCACCAAAAGCCCCCTAGGAGGCAGCCACAGGCCTAGGTGAGGGTGAAAAGAGCCTCCCGGACTGTGGTTACCTGGTTGAAAAGATCCTGCCTCGGTGTGTGAGAGAGATTTGGGGTGAAAGGTGTGAGCTGCAGGCACCGGGGGGCCACTGGTGGGAGCATATAAATGGCTTCTTAGCCCATGTTGAGGAGACCCAGAGGTTTCCAAGACAGGTCCCCGCCCTCTCCCCGAGAGCCCTGTGGCAGGGGCGTCTCACACAGGAGCCCTGGCTGAGAGGGACGGGGATGGGGACTTGTCCAAGGTCACACTGCCAGACCCAGGTGTGTGTGCTGATTGGGTCAGGGCCCCAGGAGCTTCTGGGATGTCTGGGGCCACTCAGAGCCCCAGGGCACAGCCATTTCCACACTAGGACTTCCCCCCCTTCCAGCACCAGCCCTTGCAGTGCCTCGATGAACAATCCCTAGAGTCCTGGCTGGTTGCGCGTTTGCCCGGGGTTCCTGCACAAAGCTGTCCACCTCCTCTGTTTTCTCAGCCTCCTCCTCCACGAGGAGAAGAGAGGTGATGGATGGGTTTGCTGCTAGGCAGAGAGAGGGGCGAGGGCCACTCAGCGAGACAGCTTTCCCTCACCCTGTCTCTCGTTGCCTGCTACCTGCTCCCTTCCTCCCACTCCTGCTCCCAGGTCCCAGCCTCCCCCTTTCCTCCTGCCCGCTCCCGCCTCTCGGGAGTGCCCGGGAGGGCTAGTGCCAGGCCTGGGAACTGAGAGGAAGCTGTGAGGAGGGCTGGTGACCTCAGGTGTCCTGTGGTCTGCTGCCTGGTGGGGACAGGGGCTTCTTCCAGCAGGCCCTCAGTATCTGTGTAGAGGGGCTGGCTCCATCCCATTCTACCTCCCTGGGCTCTGCCTGGATGCTGTGTGACCTGGCCTCAGTTTCCTCATCTGTAAAATGGGAGCAGTCACCTCTGCCCTTAATCCATTTAACGAGCATCTATTGAGCACCTACTGCATGCCAGGTGCTGCCCTAGGGGCTTGGGAAACAGCAACAAAGAACACGAAGATGTCTGGTCTTCAGGGAGCTTATAGGCCAATCCTGGGAGACAAGAAAAATAAGTAGATGAATTGTTAGAAGTAATAAGCTTTTGGGGGAAATTCAGGCGGGGCGCCAGGGAAGGTTGATGACGTGTCTGGGTGAGCTTCTTGCATCCTTTCCTCGCCCCGCGCACCCCTCGGACAGCCTCAGGACAGTGCTTTTCAGGGACCAGAATAAAACACAGACGATCACATCGGGACCCAATTATGTGAAAACGTAGTTATAGCAAGCTGTCTTCTCGAATTGTGACAAATGTGCCCGCCCGGTTAGCATATTAAACAACCAGACCCAGCAGTGACGACGGTGACTCTGAGGTTGTGACGGGCACGGGAGATATTTAGGGAAACCTGCAGCGTCTGTAACGTGAGACGCGGACACCTGTGACGTCGCTGTGACAAGGTCGCAGGGACCTCTGCGGTGCTTGCTGCCTCCGTTCGGGCCGGGAGAGATGCTAAGTTTCGTTTAGAGGTTAGGGGCGGTGCGACGGCCTGTTTTTTCTCTTTCCTACC